CGAAATATAGCAAGACTTGTGTTTTCTACGTAGAAAATTAGTAGCCAATTGTGATCGGGTTAAAGGAGATATTTTACCTTGGAAAAAGAAAAAATTACATATTCTTTTGTTTGGTTCGAAAATTACTTTTAGGTTGACTTAGGGATAAGTTGATTGTAAAATGGGTAATACAAAGGTGATGGGACATGTGGGAAAGTTGAAGTCTGGAACCTTGGGAGTATAAACTTTATTAAGATATTCAAAAATATTTTACAATGAATGCTAAAGAGAAAACATTCGTAATCAAGTATTTTTCTTTTATATTGATTACTCTAGCATAAAAATCACAGTTAGAGCTAGTAAATGTATACCCTCTATGAATTAGAATGCTTATTAACTTCATTTTATAACATTTGGGTATAAATGTGCTAAATAGACCAGAAAATGTTTTGTGTTAGTATCTGGTTTTGAATCTGTTGTTCAGGTTTATAACCTCTAGATCTAAAAAAAAGTCATTTGATTATCTCTGTTCTTGAACCGTAAATTTCATATTCCTGGGTTTAGAATTTAAATAGTCTTGGAATTTTTTGACATGGCTCTGTTCTCTGAATGCAATAAAAGTGTCATCAGCATATCTCTTATAAACTAAAAGCTTAAATTTAGATGGATGTGACTGTAGCCAATTAGTTTCATGATGAGACAAAAATAAATTTACTAAGATGGGGAGCAAGTGATGATCCCATGACCACACCATCAATTGATTACGTCTTATATTAAGCAAAAATTAATATTGTTTGGTAGCAATTTCAAGCAGTTTCATGAATTAATTCTTAATTAAGCCATTAACCTTAAACATTAGGAAATAATAACTCACTACTTGATTTGATTACTTCATTAAGTGGGATATTAGTAGATAAAGACTCAATCAAAAGTGAAAATGTGTAAAGGTTGATCAAATTCAATATGTTTGATTAGATCAGAAAAATCAAAGGAAACTTTGATAGTAAAGTCATTCTTGATAAATGGAAGTAACAACTTAACTCTTTCAGCATTGGTTCGGTCCCTGGGATTGACCTTGTAACCATTTTGTGATTGTTATAGTTTTCATGCTATAAGTTATAAATTAATAAGCAAATGTTAATGAAATTTGGCAGATTATCAGTAAACATTACAATGCTTTCATACACAAAATAAATTTTTTTCATTCAGTCTTAAGGTTTGTAAAGCAATGTTTTTCTCGTGTCTATTTTTTTTCTTTTCGCATGTTGTCTATCTATCATGTAAAGTAATATTCATTTTAAGATTAAAAATACTTTTATGCATCAAAAAATTTTGAAATTTCACATAAGAAATCTTTATAATGTCGAGATAGTTATCATGCATTTATTTAGAAAAACTTCATATTTTATATATTATTTTTCAGTAATTAATCTCTGTACAGGTTCAGTAGATTTGACCGATCTTGCAACCATCATAAAAAATTAGGAAATAAATATAAATTTTGCCTCTTATTTTAAAATGAACACAAATTATAACAGGAAAACGTAAATGTTTTAGACCAAATAGCTTAAATCTCATAACATAATACATTTATATATATTTATTTTTATTATATTGACCTTTCAGCTGTGCCTGACTAACAATACAAAAGTTACAATGACACGGCACATGTGCACTCATGTTACCATATCAAATAACATAAAACTGACCTTTGATCTATGCAAAATAACTTATCTTGGCTGTGTTTTAGTAAACTAGTATTTTGTAAAATACAATCACATTTCAATTATTATACATTATATATGTATATAGATTATTGCTATTTTGAAATAAGCTCTTAAACATATTTTTCCTAAAACATAGAACAGTAAATAAAGAAGTAAAGCAAACAATTATCTCTTCTAGTTATGACCTTTGTACGTTGTTGCTGCTTTACATAGGTCACTAAGCCTTTAAAAGTTTTGCACGTGGAGGATATGAAACAAAATATTTTTTTTAGGGTTTTATATATACATTTAAATAACTAAGAAATCATAAATTATTACATTAATACCATAGAACTCCACTATAATTTATAAAGCTTAGTAACTAAGATGTATTTTAGTCTAAAAAATATGAAATTTCAAGCAGACTAAAGACACTCCCTACCTCAGTGAAATATTGGTTCAAAAGAAAGAAATGATGCCAAGTCTGTTGAAGTGGCTGAGAAAGCCACTAGGTGGACATTCTGAGTTTCAGATTGGTTATTCATGTCATATACAGAAGTAAGTGTATATAAGGGAGTGTTTCCAAAAATGGAAAAAGGTGGGTGGGGTGCCACTGTGTTTGATTTATTACATGAGCAATATCTTAGCAAATTGAAAAGATAAGAGGCTCTTATTTTATATTCCAGCTTGTCAATATCGATAATTTTAGTTTCTAATTCATACAACACTATAGACTCAGTATTTTGACTTCACAAACATCTAATTTGAACCAGTGCTGCATTCAACACACCACGTGACACGCAAAGATTGATGTTTATCTGTTTTTTTAATATTTGCTCTTAAATTAAGAAATTGAGTAATATATAGTACTAAAATCTGAATTATAATCTACAGTTTGATACATGAATTTATGAAATGGTAGTTCAATAAAATTTTGAATGCAGTCAACAAACGAAATGACATGGCCTTTCATCCGTGTCCTGTCTCAAAAGGGATAAGAAAATAGCTAATGTATAATTGTATTCATACATTAAGCACAATAGATCTGATCTGTGTGGTACACCTGATTCATGTAGTTTAGGTGAATCATCTATGATAATAGAAGGGTGTGTGTGCCTGTGTAACTGCCATAACTCCAAGAGGAAAGAACCTAGAAACCTGAAAGTTTGCATACACACTAAGTGGACTCTGATGGTGTGCACCTGGGTATTATTACTTATCTATGTGCATGTGAGCATCTTTTTATGCAAAAAACCACATGGAAAAGAAATGTGATTGCCATAGCTCCAAGATGAAAGAATCTAGAAACATGAAATTTGGAAGTAAAAATCACAAAAAATTTATAAATAGAAATCGAAGTTGTGTGCGTGTCTGTGTATGTCTGACCGCCATAGCTCCAAGAGGAATGAACCTAGAAACCTGAATTTTTGCACCCATACTAAATGTACTCTGAGGGTCTGCACCTGAGTATTATTACTTGTCTACATATGCATGTGCACATCTTTTTAATGAGGCATTCTAGCAAAAAATCACATAGAAAAGAAATGGTTCCTGATATATAACAAATTCTAATATATAAAAAGGTTAGTGCATTTTGGTAACAATGCATTCCAATAATGGCTTTTATATCATATTGCTTAGCAATAAAAGTATAACCTAATATTGTTGTTAAGAGGCTATGTGCTGAAATTATAAAATGAAATGATAAATTACAAAATTGAAAAAAATATTTTTTGTTTTCTAATCTGGAGGCTCCGTTAATTAAAGTGGTTTGTTTTTATATTTTAAGTTTAAAATTGGAGGACAAGTCAGAGGAAAGGTTACCTTTATAATCATGCTACATTTCTTAAAGGAGCAACAAAAGTATACAAGTTATAGTTTTATGCTAAAATGGGTTAAGAATACATACTGACATAGTCATCTAGAATATATCAACCTTATAACCCCACAGGTCTAATCTGATTGTACTTCATCAGAAATAACATTTTCTTTATTTAGTTTTAATAGGAGTTGTGAAGTTTATTTTCTCTTTGTTTGGTGGGATCTGTATTTAAAATTACAGGAATCATTTGAAATGGTATACACATTATCAAGGTAATTTTGTTTATTGAGAATGACAACTTTATTTCTTTTGCCTGGATTTAAGAGCACTAAATTATCTAAACTTTTTAATTTATTCAAGGCTATTGCTTCATTGTGTGACAGATTGCTATAATATTTTTTAAAATTATAAGTATAAAAACCTGATAAAGCTATTCCTTGTCAAAAATATATTAATGGTTTGACCAAATAGCTAAAGTTTTCACATTATTCAGTAACTCTTCAAAATTTATAAAGAAGTCAGTGTATTTAATTTTATCAAGAGTGATAGCAAATTTAAAGCCACATGATAAAGCATTTTTTTCAAGGTTCATTAAAACATGTTTAGAGAGATTATGTACCACTTCTGATGGGTTCTCAGAAAACGTCCAATCATCCCAGTGGTAGCTCTTCCCTGAATCAGGCTGGGCATTAAACTGTGGATCCATGGTTTTTATCTTTTACCACAAAAAAAAATTGTGTTTTGTTCTTTGGAGCCATGGATGCATTACAAGAAAGACAGTCAAATTCCACTCTTTGATTAGAGTAGCTTAACAGTTGATAGTGGGTACTTTTGGATAGTTTCCCTCCCTCATGCTTATAAGGTTAAGATTAGGAAACTACATAATCCTTATGTAGCTTTGTGTGAATACCTGAAATTAATAACATTTCATTAAACCCTTTACAACAGGAACACCCAAACTGTGGCCCTCAGGATAAATTTTACCTACAGCCCGAAAATTAGACCATAGCTATTCAATCATCACCATCTGGAGAAGTTACTTCAGAAGGTCAGATCATAGCTTTTCAATTCTCATTAAATGATCAAACAATGGTGGCAAATGTCACAATATCGTGACAGAGCGTTGTTGAGAGCATGCTTTATGGAATAATGGAATACTTCAGCTAATTTTGGAGTTTTTATAAATTGAAACTTTGAACGGGATATATAAAGCACAAAAATCTGTTTGTCTCTTATCTAATTTCTTTTGGGTTGTGGGACCAATCTCAACCAAAGTTTGTGGGATGATAGTTTGGAACAAGGAGCATGTTAATGGAGGTTCACAACCCCTCCACCTCCATTATTGATTTTATAGAGTATTTGTTATCTGTGACATAAGTTAACGTTAACTACTTTCATATATAGTGTTATGTTCTTACACCAAACAAAAAATACTTTATTAAATTTTCTGTCCCATGGTGAGAGAGTTGATAAGACTTCAGATTTACAATGCTAAAATCAGGGGTTTGATTCCCCTCAGTGGACACAGCAGATAGCTCACTGTGGCTTTGCTATAAGAAAACACACACACATACACATTAAAGTTTCTATAACACAACATAAACACAGTGTAGGGGGAGAGAACACAAATGCCTTGGAGAGTGTGCTAGCACTTTCTATGGAGGAATGCATTTAAAAAAATGGCCACCACTATTTCAATAATACATAAACTCAGATGAAGTTGATATGACAACAGCTACTTTAATGCTTAAGAGCTGTTTGTTGAGTTATACCCACTTCCTACTTTGACCCATGGCCTTACAATTTCATCTCATAAGACACTTCTGACCATCAATTTATTAATAACGTGAAACAGTGTGGAAGGACATTCAGAGGTGGGTGTTGAAATCAAGTAACATAAAGCACTCCTACTGCCACTACCTCTTTGTACAAAGTCACCCTGACCATCATACAGTGTACACCATGTTTTAAGTATGTACATAATGAGTTCTTAAAGCTTATAAAAACTTTTGGTGAGGTAATAATTAATACTGTAATAACATGTTGTGTTATAGATAAATTGTGTGAATTTTAGGATTTTTGCATTATTTCTCGTAGCATCCACCCTCCACATTTTTTAATTAACCTTCTTAACCTGGATAAAGGATGGGAACTTCAACTTGTGTTTTATATTTGAAAAAATAACAGTGCAAACATAAATAGAAATTATATACAACTAATTCTAACTAATATATTGTGAATAGTTTTTATTTTTAGACATTTTAAACAATACTCCATTTTTAATAACTATCATCTTTATTGTCTTTCTAGCCTGAAAGTGACCATTCTATGGGGCATTGGTTTCTTTTTGAGATACTTTGTTTTCTTACCACTTAGGTTTGTATACCTTTTCATGGTTCAAATTATAAAACTTTTAATTATATCTGATTTAAATGCAAAGAAACAAAATATCTTAATATTGCACAAGATTTAGAGTTGATTAGGTTTTTCTAGTTAACTTTTTGTCTTATTTTTATTTAATTAGTTCAAATTAAACATATAGCTTTTACTTTAAAAGTATGGAATAATTTGCATTTTTCTGTTGTTCTTCTTTTAGGGTTACCCTCCTATGGTTAGGTGTTGGCTGGCTAATTATATCAAATGCTGCTATTGGTTGTCTTCAAAATGGGCCGTAGGTATTCTTTTACAATGTACTTATACATCAGTTATACATAAAGCTGACTGGCACAGCTTATAAAATTTGCAGGCTTGAACAGTACCAAAATGATGTGGGAGTATTGATAGCTGACTGGCATGGATTACATGAATGTCAGACTTGAACAGTACCAAAATGATGTGGGAGTATTGATAGCTGACTGACATGGATTACATGAATGTCAGACTTGAACAGTATTAAAATGATTCAAGTGTTGATAACTGGCTGACATGAATTATATTAATGTCAGTCTTGAACAATATTAGAATGATAAGTCAATGTTGATAACTGACATACATGGATTACATGAATGTCAGACTTAAACAGTATTAAAATGATGGTGATTGTTGATAAGTGACTGACATGGATTACTTGAATGTCAGACTTGAACAGTATTAAAATAATGTGAATGTTAATAGCTTGTGAAACTTAAGTTGGAAATCTTTTTTCATGTAAATGTCTTTCCTGCTGTATTTAAATATGATGACAGTGAAAGAAATTGTAAAGGCAAATTTCCAAATACATTTTTAATTGTAATAACATGCATTTTAGAAATATATTGTGTTATTGTAGGTAAAACCTATTAGAGAATTAGTGTTTATACCTAATGATATATTTTAAATTTGTACCTTAGAGCGGTATTATGAAGAGGTGATAGTATGAAATAACTACCTGCTAACCCTAAAAGCATTTAAATTAGCTTGTGTTATAGTGAATGGAGAATAATCATAAGAGTTTAAAAAAAATCACCAAATTCTAACCCTACTAATATTAAAACTAGCTCATGATAAAGTGAATGGAGAATAATTGTACAAGATATAAAATAACTAACCCTAATACTATTTGTTTTAAACTACTTCATGATATAATTAATATAGAATAGTGAGACAAGATATAACTAAATTGAATGTTTTGTGTTTCAAACATTTAGTTTTTGATGTTGAAATAGTGTATACAAGACACCATGAGAGATTTAATTGTAAATCTTAATATGTGTAATGTGTTTTACATATATAGATTGTGATGCTGTGGGTAGAACATTTTTTAACAGTTATATATTTTTGCATCTACAGATGATCAGACTTAGCCTTAACCCTGGTTCTTAACACTTAGAAAGCATCTTGGGCTCAAAAATTAAATGACTCACAAGTGATATTTGATTAGACTTAACCATGATAATAGTATTGTGTTCAGATTTGATAATATGTACTAACTTTTCATTGCGTCAAACATGCAATCATCCATTTTAATAAATCTGGAGAAATGTAAATTTTGATCATTTGTTATTTTTTTCTCTCTATGAAACAGACTTAAGAGGTGGGCCTATTGGCATGCAAGTTTAATGTCATTCTGCATTTTGGCTCGAGCTCTTTCTGCTGTTATAACTTACCACAACAGGTGAGTTTATTGTTATTTTCTACATTGTTTTTTAATATAAGCTTCTGCCAACTGAGAGAAACAAGTAATTGGTATGTAATGTTATTGTGTTTTAATTAACTTAATGAATAGTCAATCATTTTGAAGTGAAAGTGGTTTTACAAAGACCTATCAATAAATCTAAAAAAAATTATTTTGAACATGTCTCATTTCACTAAGATAAGGGATTGGTGGTTATGAATTGTGTATCATTTCGATTAAAAAGTAATTTAGGGTTTAGTAGTCATTTAGGGGTTGGTTATCATGAATTGTGGGCCATTTTGAATACCAAGTGATTTATTGATTGGTGGTTATAAAATGTGACTCATTTTCTCTTTTCAGCACTTATTCATCAACCAGTAAAATCTTTAGTTTCAGTACTACTTATCACACTCATTTAGTTTCGCAAGCCTTATAAGTCTAGCCTTCTTTGGAAAACATTCTCACTTTTGCAGCTAATAGTGTAGTTTAGAAATTCCCTTACAGTTGTGAAACACCCTGAGTTTGTTACTGACTCTTACCTTGAAGTACATAATAATCATTTATAAAATATTTATATACATATATATACACATTTTACATACTACATTTGATATTTTGGCTACCATACATTACATATATATATATTTACTCATAAATGCTTAAAATTTTACTTAAAACGTGAACAATAAATGAAAATTACATAGAAAAATAATTATTTCTAGTACTTACGAGAAATTGCGGTAATATGAAAATATTTTACCCTCGTGTACCTTTAGTGCTAAGCCTTGTTTATTTTTTTCGAGTGGAGGGTGAAGAAATATAATTTTTGTAGGCTTCAAATATACATTTTAAATAGAAAAAATAATATTACATTACTCTACTAGTACACCAAAAACGTCTGTAACTCGCTTGGATTTATAAATAAAGTATATACATGTTAAAATATTTTTATTTCTGTTCAGAGCAACAACTTGATCATCAACATTCAACAGTCTTGGCAAAATTATTATTTTCTTTTCCAAGCTCTTTACAAACAACTGTCAGAATCACATAAAGCATAACTTGTCCTTTATTGGTTATAAAGAGACCCTTAAGAAAAGTAGGTGGAACTAAAGAGGTTTGGAAAGAATGGAGTAGGAGGAGGAGCCACTAGTTGATTTGCTAGATACATTGATTTCTCAACAAATCAAAGTGGTGGGAGGTTCTAAATTTATATTCTAGCTTGCCAGTATGTAAAATTCATGTTTCTAATTTGTTAACCACTTGTAGATGTATGTAGTAGGTGTAAAAATGTATAAACTGAGCGACAAGACATAAGGAGGTGCTATGTGACACACAAATCAATATTAAGCTTTATTTTATTTATATTTTCTTTTGAATGAATAAATTAAAACATACATAATATTAAAATTTGAAATATAAGCAACATTTTGATACCAATTTCATTGATATATAATAATAATAAAGTTACTTAATAAAGTTTTCAAAATAAATTGCTAAAAGACCGTGCATGCACAGTTAGATCCACTTGTTGCAAAAGGGTTAATTATGTTCCCCAAGTATGGGTGTGCCATGAAAGACAAAATGGTTTTATGAGAAAAGAAAAATAAGCAGTGATTTTATTGAAAGTTACAAGATTATCCAAGCTGTCAATAATATAAAGGCCTCTTATTTTTTGTGCTATATTCTGAAAACAATAAGTTGAGGACATTGAAGATTTGGAAAAGACAGGCACGAGGTAGGTTTCAGTGAAGACAATTTTATTTTACTAACAGAGTTATTGGTTTATAAGATGATTATTTTTCCCAAAAGTGGGTGGTCCATGAAGGACCAAATGGTTTCTTATCTCTTTTTCTGTGTTGTTTGCTGCTACTGCAAGGACAACCGTGAAGGACCAAATGGTTTCTTGTCTGTTTATTATGTCATATGCTCGCCCCCTTCCCCCCCGTTTTGAAAATAAAATCAAAATAATTGCAAAAATTATGATAAATCTAAATCCATTTAACCCCTACCATGGAAGTCCTGAAAATTCCTCGTTTACATTCAGAATCATTGCACCTTCCCGTTTTCAAAGTCCTGGATCTGCCACTTTTATGCACTGATTAAGTATGCATTCAGATTTAAAAACTTTTTCATTCCAAAAGATATAAAAATTTGACATTTAAGCAGTGTATTTTTAGTTGACTCCAATGTTAAATATTTGCAGTAAGAGTTAAAAAGGCTTATCTGTTTCTAGGGAGAATCGGGCCAAAGGAGGAGGAATTTGTGTTGCCAATCACACATCACCCATTGACGTTGTAATGCTTGCAAGTGATAACTGTTATGCCTTAGTGAGTTATACTGGATGCGATATCTACAATTTCAGTGTGTTTTTAAAGATATTTTTATCATTAATAATTTATACTTGTTTGGAGCTATAGAAATTCATTTAAGCCGTGTATTTGAAGTGTTTTCATGCTATTTCAGAAGTTCACAACTATTTATTTATTTTTAATTAAGTGCACAGCTCTGAGACTGAAAGTACATCAATTTAAAAATAATTTGAGTTAAAGCAGAAGATTTAAGTTTTGATACTAACAAACTTGTGCGTAAGAATTAATAGTTATTTTGAAATCATTTTATATATATATATATGTGTGAAAATGTTTATCATTGAATTTAAAGAATGTTGGTGTTCAACTCAGATTCACAATAATTTTTCACTATGACTAAAAGTTTGATGCTTCAACTCATGTTTATAGTAACTATTAAACTAGGATTGTCTTGTTGAAGCTCAGAAAAATAAGAATTTTTACTGAGGAAGCAAAATTCTGAAAATACAATATCTTAATGTATCAACCTTTATTCTTGCCTATCATGATACTTTTACTAAACTATATATATATATATATATATCATTTTTTTTTCTTCTTCTTTTTAGATAGGGCAGAGGCAGGGCGGCTTTCTTGGACTTTTGCAGCGAGGTTTAGCTAGGGCAACTTCTCATATTTGGTTTGAGCGATGTGAATTGAAAGACAGAGTTTTAGTTACCAAAAGGTAAAGAGTTTCTTCATGCGAAGAACAACTTGCGGACTAAAAGATCTTGAACTTCATAACATTTTATTTCTTCAACAGTTATTGCATTTGTGTAAAGGATCTTTACTATTTCTGTAAAACTAATAAATGGTTGTACTTCAAAGTAAGCATGGAACAATACAGGAGAAATCTGTCATTTGGTAGTTATAGATAGAGTAAAAATAAAATAAAAGTTAGGGTTTAAAATTGGAAGGTCATTTAAGTTTGTTATTAAACATAAGTAAAATTAATGTTTGTTATTAAACATTAATTTTTACTTATGTTTTTCTCCTGATTTTTATCACATTTTGGAATTTATAAATGTAATAGTTAAAAAAACATGTTTAAAGTCTAAACCAAGAATTACTCTCCAAAGTGCAGCCATAAAGATTATTAATGTTACTAAAATTTAATGTTTTCCATTTTTGATTTTTAATTTTTCTGAGGTAATATTAAATATGACAGCTTTATTTTTTTCTCTCATTAATATTTTCTCCAGACTCAAACAACACGTAGAAGATCCAGAAAAACTTCCTATACTAATTTTCCCTGAAGGTAAGTAATTCAGTAAACATGTTTACTGCTACAGTGTACTTGTTATTCTCAGTGCACCAAGTAGTAAGTAATTCAGTTAACCTTGTTATTAACACAGTGTGCTTGTTATTTTCTGTGCACCAAATTCTAAGTAATTCAGCAAACATGTTTACTGCTATAGTGTGCTTGTTATTTCCTATGCACAAAATGACTTAATCAACCAACTTAGTTCAAAACATTTGAAGACAAATGGTAGCTGTTGCTGAAGCAACATATGATAGAATTGTGTAAGTTTATAAATGAATTTCATGCTTGTGTCACAGGAAGTGAACCTATCATGTGCTTATTATTGTATAATTTTTTTATGTATGATATTCGAGTATCTGTTTCTGGAGAGAGAAAATTAATGTGCTAACAGTTTGTTTGTTTTTTGTTTGTAAAGCCTGTGCTATTTTTTATCAACCACAATATGGCTATTATAGGTTATGTGTATCACTGCAACAGTTTTTTTTTTCTGTATGTAGTGAAAAATAACTAAGTTCCATCAGTTACATATAAAATATACCTACACAGAATTTGTATGTATTGTGTACTCTTAACCCTTTTGCGACAGGCTCGGTATAACATACATGAGTTAAGTATTTACACTATATCTTTTAGTGCAGTAAGTGTATCTTCACAAAATTTGGTAGACTTTTAGTAAAGATTACAATACCTTTCGTACAATAAAAAAAAAAAAAAAAAAACGTGAGAAGAATGTATGTTTCTTACAATACCAATTTAATTGTATTTTACCTTTTCTGAAAAGTAGAAAATTGGATTCTTTAGTAAAATGAAAATTCTGGATTTATGCTTTGAAAAGCCTAATAAACTACCCAATCTTGAAAGTTTAATTTCTCAGGAAAGCATGTCAGTTCTTAGTTAAACCACTTAAAATTTATAATTTCAACAATAAAAAGGTAATAAGGTAAATTGTGAGCTGTAATAACCAGTTGACATGATGGGTTAAAGGTTCTGTGAAATTCTAACCTTTGTAACTAATTGAGTGAAACACTGTTTTACTAGATACAGTAGTTTAATTGACTAAACAGTAGTAGGTTTGAATTCGTCCTGAACTCTGTTTTACTTTATGAGAAATATTATGAACCAGAATTTAAAATAAGATGTATGTATAGTTATACCATTGCCATTATATCCTAAAGTTTGTCAGGCACAGTAGTAGATTTAAACCATTCTTAGCATTTGTAAAATCACTTGCTATGGACATTGAATTGTACACCATCATTATTTTAGTTACTTGTTAGTCTGAAACACTGATGAAATAATAATAAAAGTAAAATGCTACTTCCATGAATATTAAATACAGGCTTTGATTAGAAAATCTATTTCACAAGCTGGATGTATTTTTGTTTATTACTTGTATTTTAAATTATATTCCACTTTGCAACTGATCAGTTTTTATTTTGGTCATGGGAACTAGAACACTAACTCTACAAAATCATAATTTTCTCATCTGTTTTAGATTCTTTATCACTTTATGATATATATGACATTTTCTTAATGCTGACAATGATCTGAAATAATATGTTTGATAAGTAACTATTTTATTATAGCTATATTTTGTAGAAAACTGCTATTGAGACATAAGAAGAGATATTATTAAGGCTTGATTCTAAACGTCAAATTAGCCCTTTCGATACAGAGTGCATGTCATCATGTTTTGTAGACTTACATTCAAAATTTTATTACACTACTATTTTGGAATGAAATTTTAGTTTAATTCAAATTGTAGTATTATACATTAGTTAATCTCTTAGTTCAGAATTAAATATTAAAAAATTGCTAAATATCAATTTTTTGTGTGTCACATGATACATTGTCTTCTGCATTTGCTCAGCTTGTACTGTGGGCACCATAAAATGTAAATTCTACAGTTTTAAACAAATGAGTAACTCAAATTACTAATAGTGACAAGCTAGAATATAAGTAAGAACCTCCTACCTTTTCTGTTTGCTGATATATCATTATATTTAGTGAACCCACCACAGTGGCTCCACCCACCTCTTCTTTTTTTGAAAGTACTTGTTTATCTACACCCAGTTCTCTCAATTACATATGTATAACCAATAAAATTATGTTATAATGTCAGTCTTCCTAGAGTATTTATGTGGGTGAAGCTATTATATATAACCATTGGAGAGTTTGAAAAGTGATGATCAAGGTGATATGCTGATAATAAATGACTTTTTAGACCGAAATACAGCTTAGTTAGGAAGCCTTATAAATTACAGGGGAAGTTTGTGGTATTGGTATAGTAATTTGTGATTTTTTGTTATTCAAAAATGCATATATGAAACCTACAAAATTTTTTTCTTTCAATTTTTTTTTTTTCCATCCCCCACATGCAAAGTTTAACAAGGCCTAGCATGTACGACACACAAGTACAAAAGCTTCATAACATCATAAGTGGTAGAGATCATTGTTTTCTATATATTATTTATCTACTGTTCTATCTTTTAAGAAAAATAACAGAAACTTAAGAATTTATTTGTAAATAGTGATAATATATATACACACACACACACACACATGTAATATACAGTAACTGAAATGTCACTGTATTTTACAAAATACTGGCATGCTATTGCTGAGACCAAGAACATTAAGACATTTGTGCTGCGTAAAGGTAAATTTTATGCTATTTGGAATGGTAATATGAGCTGCCCACGTGCTGTGTGACTTACAACTTGTGTGGTGGGATTATTAGTTAGACACAGTTCAAAGGTCAATGAAACAAAAAAATTAATAAATATGAATAGGTGTATAATGTTACAAGATTTAAGCTATTTAGAATAAACATTCCCTGTTATAAGTCATTCTAGAATGAAAAAAGGGTATTAAGATTTATTTCTTAATATTTTATGGCTGTTATGAGGTTGATCAAATCAACAAATGCCATATAGAGTTAATAACAGATAAAATGTAAAGTCTTTTTTTAAAAAAAAACGTTTGATAGTTATTTAGGAGGTTATGGAATTACACAAATGAAATTTGACAATTTGCAGAAGAAGACAAGTATTTTTAATCTTAAAATCAAAATTACTTTGCATGTTGGATAGTCAACATTTCGAAAGAAACAGATCTTTAATAATTAAAAAAATCTTAATACTTAATTAAAAAATCTGATATTTTGTGTATGAAAGCCTTGTTATGTTTACGGATAATCTACAAAATTTTGTGAAGGTACATATACATTATCAAAAGTTCTAGTATGATTACTGTCATGGTTACTTTGATGGTTACATACTGGGTGTAATGCACCTACCTGTAGTCAAAGAGTTAATATTCTCCTTTATTCATCTTTTCCAATATGCTTAAAATTGTTGGTATTCTGTGAACTCTCATGTCTTGTAAACATAATTATTCTGATGCTTGACAGGTACCTGTATCAATAACACATCTGTGATGATGTTCAAAAAAGGCAGTTTTGACGTTGGTGGCACCATTTATCCAGTTGCTATAAAGGTTAGTTTGTGGTGAGTCATAAATCAAAAATTTGTTTTTAGCTATTTGGTGAAAGACTTGTGCTTTTGTTCAGTTATATTTTCACTCCTTTGTATTCTTTTTTTCAAGCTACAAAGTTTTGATGAATCAGGAAAGATATCTACACTATACACTAAGTGTAAGAAAATTTGTTTTATTGTTGCAAGTTTATCAATAGCTATGAGGTTGAATTAGAGGTAACACTTGATCTCTAATTTGTTAGTGTGACTCTTCATGATCACTGAACTAGAAATTATAATTCAACTGTTTTATTTTATTTATTTATTTTTGCTTATTGGGCAGGGGACTAACATCAGTTTTGGTTTATATCAGCTTTGCTAATGAGTGTCTGTGATCATTGGACTAGAGATTATACATCAACTCTGGTTTCTGTTTATTTTGTTAATGTCTCTTTGATCATTGGGCTGGAGATTATGCATCAGTTCTAGCTCTTACTTACTTTGATTGTAAGTTCATTTGAGGTCTCTGGGCTGGAAAGAGCCCAGAGACCTCAAATTAACCTACTATGAAAGTAGGTATGAACTAGAACTGATCCATACAGCCCAGAGACCTCAAATTAACCTACTATGAAAGTAGATATGAACTAGAACTGATCCATACATTCCAGCCCAGAGACCTCAAATTAACCTACTATGAAAGTAGGTATGAACTAGAACTGATCCATACTTTCCAGCCCAGAGACCTCAAATTAACCTACTATGAAAGTAGGTATGAACTAGAACTGATCCATACTTTCTAAGATTATGCATCAGCTGTGATTTATGTCCATTGTTTGTGAATGGTGAGATGAAGGTAACTAATCAAATCTGTTTTGTGGCTTATTGACTTGTGGAAGAGTATGTGACCACATAGCTGGATCCTTTGCAGTAACTGTGGATTGTGTCCTTTTGTGGCCAGATAATTTTGCACTGGATTTAAAATCAAATGTGTCAGAAGTAGTTTATTAAATTATTTTGTTGATTGAATTTTGAATTACTATGATACTTTGGAATTCATGGTCATTTTTTAAAAGTAGGAATTGTATGGTCTGAAAGGACAGAAATAATCTGTTTTCCATATATAATCTTCATAGTTTTATTAATGTGTACATTTTTAATTTCCTCAAACACACAATAATGGATAGATATTTTTAACTTTGTAAGGCAGAGACTGACTCTGGTGTATGTTTTAATTTTGTAATAAGATAGGAATCATTCTGTATTTCTTTTGTAATAGTAAATATACAGTTTAACCCAAAAATGGCTTGTTTAGCTCTCTGATTTTTATTTTTTTCAGTATGATCCCAGATTTGGTGATGCCTTTTGGGACAGCAGTAAACAGGGATACTTTCATTATCTCCTGATGATGATGACCTCTTGGGCAATTGTCTGTGATGTCTGGTATCTTAAGCCTATGACTCGTAAGGTACTTAGCATTAAAATTTATACAGTCAGAAATATGTGACTGAATGTATTTTAAGAGTATAGAGCTTATTCAGTTGTTATTACTAATTAATTCAGTCATTTCATATGTGTGCATTCTTTACATTAGAAATTTTTTAATTTTATGTTTTTTTAACATTCCATTAGAAATTTATAGTAATATGTTTATATATGAAAAAAAGTTTTATTTAAAATTATAATGATTTTTTCACTTGAATTTGAAATTACACAAACCACTTAACATTAAATTTCCATATAATAAACCACATTTGGTGTAGAAAGTCTTTACAACACTTGTGATTATGAAGGATTTGGAACTTGAATGCCTGGCTTATCTGATTTGAAATAAAATGTTTTTTTTAGATGTATGAACAATGTTTTATTACAAAAATATCATGATAAAGTAGTATACAATGGGTTTGAAAAGCAATTCCCCACCCCCTCCCCCAGTGGCTCAGCAGTAAGTCTGAGTGCTCATATTGGTACAAATCCAAATTTCAGTACTTGTGGTGGGCACAACACAGATAGCCCAACGTGTAGCTTTGTGCTTAACAACAAACAAAAGGCAAGAGTATTATTTTTTGCTATAGAAAATGCAAGTTCTAAGCTAAATTGATTGTTTTTCAGGTGATGAAATTATCATTGTTCAAAAATTAACTAAGAATAGCTTGATGATTCACACTTCAATCATTCTTTTATTGTGAAGAAGTTTATTTCATTATACATTCATTTTCTAATTCTAGTTCTCATTGAAGTCATTTGATTGCCACAAAACTCAAAATATGTGAACTCGCTTTGGTTGAGCATAGATACAGTTATCTGCATTTAGTTTAGGGCTTATAAACATTTTTCTGGGTCAAGTCCCATCATAAACTTCACCAAAAAATATGTAATTTGCAACCCTCTCCCCAAATGTACATACAGATATTGACATATACGATGATTGCTTCGTTTTCACACACAACACAAATTATTCTATTTTGTGTAATGTACAATATGACATGAACAGTCACTGGAACCTGGCTAAGTTCAACGTGTGCTCTGGTTGCTTCTTTGATTTATTGAGATTTTTTAGTTTTAAATAAGGAATGTCATAAAAATAAATTAAAAAACATTTAAACATAAAATCTGTTATATTACTGTATTATCTTTTGTTTATGTTATACCAATTAGAATAGCATAAAATCTTAGCTAATAATCCATATTTTAATA